ACAAAAAAAAAAAAAAAAAACACATCTTAGTAAAACCAATACCTTCTCAGCTTCGCATCGAAGCTAAAATGTAAAACTAAGCCATTTTTATATTTTAAAATATTCTACAAAGGGGCCATAGTAATGAGGTCACTGATTTTCATATAAATTATATGAACCTAACTTACATAGAATATAAGGTTAAACTTTTTTTAAATTATTGATTTTTCTAAGACGTGAAATGTGTCTTTGAAATTTTAAACAAGCTTAAATTTTCTTTTTTATTTACTGACAATTTCTATGTACGATTACCTTATCGGTAATACTAAAATTACGCTTGGAGTACTAGGTTTGAACCCCACTCTTCGCAAATTCTACAAATTTTACAAAATTCTATTCTATACAAAAAGTAAATTTCATTTAGTTATTTAGCATAACACGGTGAAAAGTGAGTAAGAAACAATCTCGACTGCTGTACGCTTCTTGACACTTACAAATTTTATGTTAGTATTCAAATTATTCCTATCTGACTACAATTTATTTTAAGAGCTTAGATAAAGACAACGAAAAGATGAGTCAATTTTATTAACCTCAATCATCAATTTTAATTGCTAGAAGAATATTGATTGTATTTTCTAATAAAAAGTAAAGGTAGATAATGGAGAAGGGGTTAGATTAAATGGATTGGGTTGCTTTGGATTACTTTTTATTATTCTAATCCTAACTTTTACCCACTGTTATCTATTTCTTATATTACATAAATATAGTACATGCCTTACGACTACACTTACCTTGATATTTAATTGAACCCATTGATAAATGATAAATTGTAATGTTTTTTGTCGACGTCAATACATCAATTTTATTTAAATAAATAAAACACTGATATGAGGGTCTATAAACTGAATTAATTTTTATGTTTAGTGTTAGTTATTTCAACAAATATGAACGTCTTATAATTAAGGTTGACAAAAGTAACATGGATTTTATTTTATTAACTTAAATATAAAAGAATGAGTGTATGCGTGAATAATGTGCTGGTGTGCTAATTTATTTATCCTTTTTATATCAAACTTGTGTGTAATGTGATGAAGGGAGGCTTGTTTTTCTTAAAAATTTAACTATTTTATCCTGCCATCTGTTCGGCGTAACAAATACGCTAAAGGTTATTAAAAATATTGACATTAATGTAAACATATATTTGTAAAATATTATAAAATTACTAGTAATTAAATTGTTGGTCAGAAAAATAATTAAAATGGATAATTATTTATGTGGAAAAATTATTTTAAAAGTTTCTCGAAACTTATATAAAGTCTGTTTTTACATTTCCAGTCACATCGCTGTGTCCCGGTACCTATGTCAGTATAACATTAAGGAACATTGCTAGTGTTTATACAATTTCACCACATTAAGGACTAGCCTTGGAGTCACCTAGTTGTTATTAAGTGCAACAGAGCGGCTTGACTATCTCATAGAATAGTTATATTTTTTTATATGAATACTAGCAAGTTTTGGGCCCCTACTAGTATTGCCATTACCACTGCTCGAAACACAGAGGTTATTGAACCCATTGACATGCTTAAATTTATGCGTGTATTTATATTTATAAATTCTTATAAATGTTTCTATTTATTGATTTCAAATCAAACTTGCAAGTTAATCTAAAAAAAAATTATGGTAAAAAAATAAGCATTTAAAATATAAAATTTCATAAAAATCAACTTAAAAAGAGAAAAAAAATAGGTTAACACATAACTTTTTGAAACAAAATTTTTCACGGATTATTTTTAATGTATTAAATCAAAAGTAATAATAATTAGAAGAATAATTTGTTTAGCTTCGATGCGAAGCTGAGAAGGTATTGGTTTTACTATGATATATATTTTTTTGGTCTGTTACCACTTTTTCTCAGCTCTCACCGAACCGATTTCTTTCAACGATATATCAAAAGATCACAAATCGTATCTAGTTGAAGACATTATAAAATTGAAAACATTTCTCTCGTTCGCCGTAAATGGGGGAAACCTCAAAACAAAATTACAAATTTTAAAATCGCTGATTTTCCAATTTTTTTCAATTTTTTAATTTAAAACTGCCCTTACTTTATTTGAAATGACCAAATCAAAATAATTTTTTTATAGATGCATAATGTCTTTACCTATCATTTGGTATATTTTTTTATAAATCTGACTCTTTATCTACCCACAGGGAGGGATTTAAAATAACAACTTTTTCACAAAAAAATAACTTTGAAAGTGATTCGGAAAGTCTGACACTTTTATATATATCTTAAATTAAAGCTAATGTAATATACTTTATTATGAAAAAAAAAATTTTCGGAGTTTATTTTGTCTTCACATTGAAAATGGCTACCAAATGCTATTTTTTTGTGAAAATTCTAGATTTTATATTTTTTACTTTAAAATGCTATAACTTTTTAAAAGACGTATGGATCAATACAATATTTTCATGAGAAATAGTATTTATATACATCTTTCATTTGACAGTTATTTTAATCACTGTCATATATCATTGTACTTGATACAACTATGCCACGTCATCACTGAGCTGGGTTTTTTGTTCTAATATTTTTATAATAATGTAAAGACTTATTTTTTACTATTTAGAATTAATCTCAAAAAAGAGGTTATAAAAAAAAATCTAATTGCATATTTTGAAATCGGACCAAATATGGATTTAAAAATGTATTTTTTGGTCTCTAATAAAAATTCCTTGTAGACCAGTCAATTTATTCAAAGGTCACAAACAATTACTTAGCCACACAAAAAAAATCAATTTTCCGGTTCGAGAGTCTGACTATATTTACTATATGTTTATAAAGTTTGCTGAATCCAAATCTGAGGTCGAAAGCACACCATGGGGCCAGGGTTTCTCATAACTTCAAAAAAAACCCTTCATCGATCTATATAACGATAAACCCTTCATATCAAACCCCTTAACCTTTTGAAATCATAACACAATTACTCCATGATACCTCTTTACCATAAGTCCATAACCATATAACCTCATAACACCATAATTATTTGATTTGATACAAATTGACTGAGGTGATCTGTTTTGTTTGACTTGGGGGGCAATGAAATTATGGTATTATGGTGTTATCGAGTTATATGATTATGGACTTATGGTAACGAGGTATCATAGAATGATTTCAAAACGTTATGTGGTTTGATGTGAAATGTTTATCGTTATATGACTCGATGAAGGGGTTTTTTTGAGGTTATGAGAAACCCTAGCCCGATGGGGTGGTTTCGACCTCAGATTCGGATTTAGCAACCACAAAAACATGGTTAGACTCCAAAACCCGAAAATTTTTTTTGTGCGGTTGTGTTATTTTTATTGAAATGTATAGAATCAAGCCCTCCAGTTTTCATACAAGTTTGCTATAAAAGTAACAACTACTTTATTATTTTTTATAATTTATCCGTAAAAATTACAATAATAAATTATTTATATGTTATAATTATAAATTAAAGAACTATTAATCAGGATATAATTAAGGTAATGGAGTTGATGCTGCTTTTGAAATAATCCACCAATTTCTTAAAATTAAACACTATCTAGAGATTTGCATGGAAGCGTTTATTATGATAGTGATTTTAATCTTTTATACTTGTCCCAAATATGTCACGTTCATACTGTGCCATGGCTCCACTGTGCTACCAAGTGTACCGTATTAGATCTTATTGTAATGGTGTTGTACATTTGAGTATCACGAATTAAAGTATAAATGCAGGCACGTAATGGCGGATGAAAACTGACAGCGGAAAAGCGACTACGGAAAAGAAGTTATATAGTGATAGACAGGGCCCAATATTGGAGATGTGCAAGGCCACGAGAGTAAAATAATGCAATAAACAAATAATATAAAATATGAAGTACAATACCCAAACAATCGACTAGCCAAGCGAAGGCGCTTGCTACAAAAAGAATGATACACTGACTTACAACGATGATCTGTACACAGATGACAATTGACACGTAGGTCAGCGATTTTCCATTCTGGATTCGCAAGGGGGTGAGCAATACAAGGACGCATGATATCAGCTGCTGTACGATATAATATAATCAACACTGTTTGTGACAACTGGTCCACTAGGTCTTAGCTAGAGGCGTTCTCTACCAAATAATAATAAAGGTTTTGTTTTTAAATTTAAGCATTTTCGACGTTTTTAAAGTAAGTTTCAAAAAATTTTTAATTTTGCAAAACTTTTGATAATTTCAGTTTTATTTTACGATATCAATAATTCATCACTTCAGAATGAAAACGTTGTAACTCAAATTTATTGTTTTTTTTTTTAATCAACTGAATAAACTGAATTTATGGAGTTGACTTAACAAAAATATCTAGTCATAAAGGACAATTCTAATACTTTTAAAAAACTATAATTTAATATGATAATTAATTTAACAATAAAATATAATATTTTAAATAAATCTATAAATTTTAGCTTTATAGAAATAGTATTTTACTGTGTTTTATTTTTTGTGGGTCTGTCCGTATAAATACTTCACCCTCTCTTTGTTAATCTTTACTACAAAAGAATTCAAATTTCTTATAGTTAAACCTTATAGTTAATCGCTGAAAAATAACATATAACTTTCTGTGTTTACAATTTGATCAACAAGAATTCATCCATATCAAACTGAATAGGTGTTTAACAAATTTACATATTAATAATTTAACAAATTTATATATTAAAAATGATTATTACTAAATCATCTCTTAGATTTTTATAGAGAGTAGCTCCAGGATAATCACAAAATAATCCTTGTATTATTAAAAACAAAAATTCTTGTACCTAGCCTAAGATATGATCATAACAAGTTGATTAGCTTTGTATTCTCAAAAAATAATTCAATAATATTCCATCAAAATAACATAATAAAAGTACAATTACAAAATATAGTATTTTATGTTAAAAACAATTATATATAAATAGTAAAATTAAATATGCATTAATTGTCTTATAAATTGACAGCATCGCTAATAGACGATAATATTCAACTTTGTCATTATTTTTCATTTTTATATATTAATAACCTAATTAACATCGTATTAAAAATTTCTATTTTACACATTGATTACTTGAACAATTTTAAAAAATCAGTAAATTATCATGGCATTGATTATTTTCCATTTTTTTATTTATTATTCTATTTCAACATATATATTGATTCAAGTTAATTTAATTGATAAAAATCCAAAAAAAAAATTTATTTCATAAGGAAGAAAATGTGTATAATTGTAAAAAAAACTCATACAAATTGAATTGTATTCAATGTTAAAATTTAAAAATTTCTTAATATACATTAAATTAGAGTATTACAATTACACTAGATTAGTTAAAACATTTAATTTACAAAAGTTTTAAATAGCTAATTTTTATTTCGGAATAATGAGTTAAAAATTCCTTATGATTTAAAAGCACAAAATTATTTTAATTTATTGTAGCAAATAGATTTAATCCTATAATATTATTTTCCTGTTGTGCGAGAATCATTAAATCATCACCAGGTTTGTAATCAGATGTATAATCCCATTTCCAGTATTGATCATTGTCTAAAACCACGTAATTTTTTTTTGATTTCATTAATTCCCTACATTTCAACAATTGTTCATAATATACATCTAAGTCTTCTATAAATGGACCATCATATAAAATAATATTAGTTGTAAATGTAGTCAAGACATCCGAAACACAGTCAAGAGGCAGAGTAGAAATATAATATCGTTTGAATGAAGACAAAATATTATAAAAAAGAACAGCAAATTTCTCTATAATAATGTTTAAAACGGCAAAATTAATTGTAATATCAAACAAGCTGAAATCATTAATAAAATCTGCATTGTCATTTAAATCATCAAGTCTATCTATTACTTCAAGTATAAACAAACAAAATCTGTCTACTAATGTTAAACCAACGCTTTCAATAACATTCAGATATTGAGTATAACATTGGATAATATTGGTATTGTTTTTTATACATGGTTTAATGATATTTCCTAATTTTTTACCAATTGCATCGTCAATGGGAACAGGAACATCTATTTCATTTTGTTGTGTCAACGTCCAAGGTTTTTTACATTTTCTAGGGTTGAAATACTTAGACTGCACAATATCAAGATCAAGATCGTCTAATATAGTATTTTTGTTATAAGGCATATGATAACGAGATACATTTTTTCCTGTGTAATAATCTTGTTTTTGTAACGTCAACTTTATAAATGCAGGATACTCCCTAATGAGTATATTTAAATCGTCAATAGTAATAGATTTTTGAATTTCAGTATTCTGACTCATTTCATCATGTGTATAAACAATAACATTTGAAATTATTATTTTCAGTAAAATAATATGTATTTCGCTAAAATAATTCATTTTTACCTCTTATAGTTATAGTGAAATTATTCTGCAACTTGTGAACAAATTGGTTACTATGAAATTATAAAAAAAATCAGTAACGATTATCCAAGAAATATTTAAGCTATTCAATGTTTGTTTTATTTTTAATTAAATTCAACTTTATTAGAATATAAAGTTCAACGCATATTTCTTTTTAATATTAAAATTAATATTTCACATATGATAAATTATTTTTGAATATGATTACATCTTTGTTCTTATGAATTATTACTGATTTAATTGTAAAATATTCTATATATAATATTGTATGTATTTTTATTTAATTATTAACAAATTACTTACTGTAAAACTTTTAAAACTATCTATTAGCAATTATTTTGAGGAAAAGTTAAATTATTGAATTATTGTTAAAAAATTAGGATAATTTTTTTGAAGTATGTATAAATTGTAATTACTTTATATTTAAATTTAAGTTGGTATAATCTGTAGGTCTATTTTATAAATACATTAAATAATTTATATTATCAAATATATATATATATATAAAAATTAAAGGGGTCGGCCTGAATAGTAATATATATTTCAACACATAAGGCCCCGTGTTCGATCCCCAGAGTGCCAACGTGATTTTCTTGTGATTTTTGCATTGGTAATGTGGTGCAATCCTACCAAAATACCCGTTCCGTCTATGTTTACCTAACCATTAAACATCTTTGACTCTTTAACATGGGAAATTCGGTCACCATTCTGTGTAGCATGTTAAGTTTGGGAAATATAGAAATGTAAAACTAATCATTGTATTCAATTTAAATTTTCAGTCTTATAGATAAATAAATATATTGTTTAATTAAATGTTTCTTGTGTAATAATAATGCACGTGCAAATCAATATGATAATCCCTGTTAGTTTTTTTAACTTATTAAGAATAAAAGTATAATGGTGGTTTGTATTCTAATTGAGTTCTATAAAGTTTATATCAGATATGTCACAAACAATTTTAGGATTTGAAACGCACTCATTTTTTTAAATTTGAGGATGGAAGCAATTTTATTGTTATTTTTATAATGTGTTACCATTCCGAATATAGTTTTTAACCCATTAGATCGTTCATCACTAAGTTTTTAGTAATAAGTGAATATTTTTCAAAAAATATTTAATTTTTACCTGTTTTAGTTTTAAAAAAATTATTCAATCACTTGGTTACATTAAGATATTTATACATAGAAAAAAACCCGATCATTTTTTCAAAAAAAAAAATTATAATATCCAATTTATGTATAATTTCGAATTTTCATTGAAATTTTCTGGATAATATTAATATTTATAACTCAAAAGGAATATAGTATTTATCGAATAATACTTATGAACTGTTTGAAATATATTTAAATTACACTTACTTTATATTTAAAATAACGCCATATTTGTTGATATAAGCATTACAACGCAGTTGAATTATTCTTAATTTATACTATTAAGACAAGGTATTATATACTATAAGTATACAAAATTAAATTCATTTATATTTCACAAAAATAATCAATACAGTTGAATAAAAGTAAATATGACATAAAAAATTAGCTATTAAACAAAAGAAATTATTACTTAAAAAATTAATTATATTCGTTGAATGCAAATAGATTTAATCCTATATCATTATTTTTATGTTGTTCGAGACATAATAATCCGTTATCAGGTTTGCAATCAGAAGTAATATTCCACTCCCAGTATTGATCATTATCTAAAATAGCATAATTTCTTTTTGACTTCATTAACTCCCGGCATTTTAAAAAATTTTCTTGAAATTCATCACCTTCAGTAGAAAACATCCCCATAACATTTGAAACACAGTCAAGAGGTAGAGTCGAAATGTCATAACGTTTAAACGCAAAAGAAATATTATTTAAAAGAATTTTAAATACATCTATAATTAAGGTTAAAAATTCAGTATTAAGTGTTATGTTAAATAAACTAAAATTTTCTTTATAATCTACACTAGCTTCCAATTTATCAAGCATACTCCAAACTTCAAGTTCAAACAAACAAAATCTGTCTACTAATGTTATACCAACGCTTTCGATAACATTCAGATATTGAGTATAACATTGGATAATATTGAAATTGTTTTTTATACATGGTTTAATGATACTTCCTAACTTTTGACCAATGGTATTGTCAATGGGTACAGGAACATCTGTTTCATTATTTTGAGTCCATGTCCAGGGGTTTGTATGTTCTATATGGTTGAAATTTTTAGACTGCGCAAGATCAGGATAATCTAATATAGTATTTTCATTGTAATGCATAGGACAACGAGATACATCTTTTCCTGTGTAATATTCTTGTTTTTGTAATGTCAACTTTAAAAATGCAGGATACTCTCTGACTAGTTTATTCAAATCGCTAATAGTAATAGATATATGTTTTTCAGAATTCTGACTAAATTCATCTTTTGTATAGGCAATGATAATATTTGTAATAATTATTTCCAGTAAAACAATATGTATTTCACTAAAAAAATTCATTTTTACCTGTTGTAGTTATAGTCAAGTTATTCTATCATTTGTTAACCAATTGGTTACTATGAAATAATAAAAAAAAAAAATCAGTAACGTTTGTCAAAACATTTTAAATACTCAGTTTGTGTATAATTTTGAATTAGATTTATTTACTTCAAGAAATAAAGTTCATTGAAATCTCCCTCTAAACATTAAAATTTATACCTTTCAAATGATAAATTATTAGATGAACACTAATAATGGGGTTATTGGCTTATATTTATATCGTTATTACTTTATATTTAAATTTTCGAAAGTGGTATGTTTGCTAATTTACATATATCAAATACTTATTCTAAATTTATACTATTTATTGCAAGTTGGTATAACATTAAGTTATAATATCATTTAATAAATTACAATACGTAATAAACAAAAATGAAATTACTTGTGGTGTTGGAGGATGTTTATTATTAGAAATTATAATTATATTGAATTAGTATTTTTAATATAAAATTTTGGTTAAGTAATTAGCCACAAGTGATCAATTTTTATTATATGATTATTATTATATATGGTGATTACATATGTATAGGGTGGATAAAAAAAAATCGATCTTTGAAATTTTAATGAAAACCATTTTAACTTTATTATATACATTAAAATAGACATTTTGTGAAAATTTGAGATTTTAAAAAAAAATTTTACTGGTGGCTAAACGTGTTTTTAGTAGTTTGGCCAAAAATACTCCAAAAAACGGCCTCTGTTATTCAATTTTTGGTCAAATATTATGAATAGTATAACAAAATAGTTTGGTTTTTACTGTAAAATACAAATTTTTTAGTTTCAAAATTTTAAGTCGAAAACTGATAGTGTGGATATCATAATTACCGTCATCTATCTTGCCCTATAAATTGCTCCTGATGAATGGATTATAATTTTTTTTTTTTTTTTTATGTTTTTTCAATGAAAAACAAACAGAATTCTAGCAACTCTTTATAATCATCTCGAGAAAACAGCTTAAATGTTACCAAAAAAATATGACTTACTTTTTTATTGTATTAAGTTTAATAAAAAATGAATTGTTTGATAAAAAAATTTATTTGAAAAATATGTAAAGACAATCGTCATTTATTCATATTTTCAAGAATAGCGTTTATTTTAGCTTATGCATTATTTGTAAAAATGTATAAGTTTTTAAAATAGTGAAGAATTTTTTTTTCTACTTATAATATACATAAATATCAGCCAAACTCTATAAAAAATATAATTAAAAAAATTTTAAGATTACTTGAGACCTACTATATATATACCATATAATCACGCTAATTATGATATCCTTGCTATCAACTTTTAACTTAAAATTTGAATACTAAATTTTGTATTCTACAGTAAAAATCAAACTATTTTGATATACTATTCATAATATTTGACCAAAAATTGAATAACAGAGGCCGTTTTTTGTTTTTTGGAGTATTTTTGACCAAACTTCTAAAAACACGTTTAGCCACCAGTAAAATTTTTTTTTAAAATCTCAAATTTTCACAAAATGTCTATTTTAATGTATATAATAAAGTTAAAATGGTTCTCATTAAAATTTCAAAGATCGATTTTTTTTATCCACCCTAATATGTATAGTAATATCAGTTAAATAGCTTAAATAAATTAAACGACTCAACTATATTTTACTTCTTTCTGTTATTGTTTATTATATAAAGTTTTATAGAGTATTGCATGCAAATATTCGCACTTACCTCTGCTTTCTTCTGTGTTTGTTTATATTGATCTTGTATAATTACTTAGTTCGTGTGTATGGTGAAACAACAAAACTAAAATCAGTAGTTTTATCAAAGAAAAAGTTAAAATATTCAATTTTTGTATGATTTTAGATTTTTATTGTAATTTTCTGGAAAATATTAAGATTTTTGCCTCAAAATGAATAAAGTATTTGTCTAATAATAATGATGAACTGATTGAAATATATTTAAATCGCAATTACGTTATATTTTAAATAACGCTATATTTTCTAGTTTACTCATTACAATACAAATACATTATTCATAATTTATACTTTTAATACAAGGTGTTAAATATTTTAGGCATGTTTGAAAAATATATAAATTATTAATAATGGTTTAAATTGCTTCATTTGACTTATTATTCAACTCTATATGCAATTAAATTTAAAAAAATAATTTAATTAATTATAGCGCAAAAGAATTAAAAACTATAAATTCATAATTGCTTTGTATATAACTAATATTAAACTTTAAATGTCAATTAAATTAAAAAAATAATGGATTAATTATAATATATTATTAATAGAAATAAAGAATTAACAGAATTATTAAAATATAATTATAAATACTTATGTCATCTATTGAATTCAGTATGAATTGAAATTTAATAATTTAGTATTATAATATTGACGGAGAGATGTTAAAATTATAGTTGTATATTTTGTTAATCCTTGTGGATAGGGGAAAAAAAATACTTCCACGGCGCCTCTGTTATTCGTAAAAGGTGACTTATGAGATCGCGTCAGGTTGACAGCCGGTGTAAAATTTTGTCAAAATGTATGAGGAGTCTTAAACAGAACATTGGTGAATTGTCCCATCTCGGATGTACACGGAACATGTAAGAGGAAACAAAATAGTTAGAGACGAAGAAGACTTTAAGAATACCTGTTTGATAGTCATGTGTATAGGCATACTCAACGCTTGTAGTGTCAACGGTGAAGGGACTCCATTACAAAAATGTAGTCTGGACTAGTGTATAAGGCAGAAAAATAGAAATAAAGTGCGATAAAGCAGTAAAACTAGAAATAGAAGTGCAAATAGAAATATGGAAAATATTAGGCGGTGTTGACATAAAGTAGTTGATATATCTGTTTAATAAAATATAATTAGAAGGGAAAATTCTAAAAGAATGAAGGAATAGTATTGTTGTGTAAAAGCAAAGCAGATACAGAAGAGTAGAAATTATAGAGGCAAAATAATAAATATTGTTATACCGACGCCATTTCTCAAGACTATACTTTAAAATAATTTCATAACTATTGAAATAGTGATTCAATAGTTGTTAACGACTCGTCATTTTCTATGTTATTAATAACTAAAATATGTATGTTTCCATTAAAATAAATTCAGTTAATATATGATACTACTTATTCTACTGTATTAGAAATGTATATAAAAAATAATTATTAACTGATAAATCAAAAATTATATGACACTAAAAAATGTCAGAAATAATTTTCTTAACAATTATTATTCAAAAATAAAATGATAAAATGAAAGATAAGATATAATGAGTTTAATCTTATTTGTGATAGTATATTACTAAAGCACGGTTATGATGAAGTGTATGTATCCTACAAATTTGTGGGTTACACAAAATAACAAATAAGTATTTATCGAAAAACATAAGCGATTCGACATATAGTTAGTGTATAATTTTATTCAAATAATGAAATACTAAAACTAATGTTGTTAATTGTAGTATCAAATATGATGTTAAACTACACATCTTAAATAATCATTAAAATTAACGAACTTGTTTCCATACAACATCAATTCGAATCGTTTCCAATGTGGAATTAACGTGGCAAACGATACTAAGGATAATATAGTTGAAAAACTATTTTTTTGTCAATCTTGCATACATTACGCTCATACACATAATACATGCAGGCTCGTGGCTTGGACGACGGGACGATCGCACCCCCTACTAAAATTAATTAAAAGAAGAAAATTAATTATATATTCTTAATTCTACATTTTTATTAAAAATGCAAAATTTAAATGTAAAATAGTTATAATTTATTTGTCGTGTGCGAACATTAAAGTTGTTTCCCTAAGTATATGCGGTGCGCATAAACACATGAGCAGTGTTAGGATATTATAAGTCAGGCGCCCAATCGTTTGTGTGCGGATACGGTTTAGCTGCAATCTTATGTGCGGGTTTTGGACGACCGGCAGAGTCGTCTATACTAGTGATGGGAAATATCGAATTGTAACTATTCGAACTATTCGATAGTCATTCTAAAACTATTCGAATAGTAAAACTATTCGATAGTTACACATATATTCGAATAGTTTTTAAAACTATTCGGCACCTCCATTCGAATAGTTTATGCTAAAAACACACTACTCGGTTGTATAAAAACAATTCGAATAATTTATTCCATAGTTTAAAATATTCGAAAATGTCCATCACTAGTCTATACGGTAAAATATTAGTATATTACTATATTGGGTAATTTATTTTTAGAGTTACTACGTGTACGCTCGTCGTTATCGGTTGCTATAACAGTATAATCGCTATTCTTACTATTATTTTCATTTCTATTTTCTACTGCGACCTTTAAAATAATTATATGTGTATTGTGTTTTAGTTTAATGTATTTACATTGTCAATTTTTTATATCTATAATTAGCGGTATTATATTTAAAGTCGCACCCCCATCACCAGCACCCATATTTTTATGCGATTTTTAAAAAAATATATTACTTTAATATATTGTTTATTTTTTTATTTTTAATAATCATATTGAAAGATTTTTTAAATAAAATCATTATATTTATATACAGAGTGATTTTTTTATCATAACCCACTCAATTACTTATAGAATAATAATAATTCAAACATTTTTTTTTTATTATCTTTAGTTACACATTATTCTTGAATTTTTAACTATGTAATACTTTTTAAGTTCATCCCATATGCCTTGTAAGGGGGTCAACTTTGTTTTTTTAAATGGTTACACATATTTTTAATATAATAAAATGTTTGAGTTTTTAATTTAATAGTAAATAGCATTTGAATTTTTAAAAAAACTTTATTCGTTTATTAGATATAAACATTTAAAGTTTCAAATTTTTGAGTTATTATACATGTATAATGCACAAGTATTATAAATACAGGTAGCTAATTGGTTTTTTATGACATCGACATTCGCAAGTACACAGCTTTGTTATTATCAGTGATAGTGAGGTACATTGTTAGTTTATAAATACACTAACTGACAATACAAAAAGTATATCTATTGATAGTTAAAATTGATAATAAACAATCCGTGACTGTGACAGCAATGTCATAAAAAACCAATTAGCTACCTATATTTGTAATCCCTTGTGTATTATATCTGTATATTAACTCAAAAATTTGAAACTTTAAATGATTATATCTAATAAACGAATTAAGTTATATTAAATATTCAAATGCCATTTATTATTAAATTAAAAACTCAAACATTTTATTATATTAAAAATATGTGTTACCATTTAAAAAAACAAAGTTGGCATAAGGGATGAACTTAAAAAGTATTACGTAGTTAATAACTCAAGAGAAATGTGTAACTAAAGATAATAAAAAAAAAATTTTTTAATTATTATTATTCTACACCCAAAGAAAAACCTCAATCAAAATTGAAAGAGAAATTTTATCAAGGGTTTATGATAATGTTTTATTAATACGAACAAAATAACTATTCTTATAAATAATTATTGTTCAAGACAAGAAAAAAAAATATCATATTGATAAATATATCATTGATTCAATAGTAATGATATATTTATCAAATTGAACAATGAATTTATTATATAGATCCAAGTTTTTCTTTGGGTGTATAAGTAATTGAGTGGGTTATGATAAAAAAATCACCCTGTATATATATAAATATTAGAGAGGAACAAAAAAAGTCTATCATCAAAATTTTAAAGAGGATTTTAACTTAATTATACAAAGTGATTGAAATCTGGTAAGACACTCATTTTCTCAGAAACTATTAAGAATTTTCAATTTTTTTAAACAGAAAAATATCAAAAAAACTTTGTTTGTACAATTTTTTTTTTCGATTAACTGTTCGTTCGTTACAGCTTGTTAAAGTTAAGTTAAGTCTTTATTAAATACAGAAGTCATTATTTTTATTTGCTGTCGTATAAACAAAAATTTTATTGATCAAGTTATAACAGGAAAATTAGCTAAAAAAATGTACGACGCACTAAATGAGTCATAACAATAATAGATTCAAAATTTGTTTTTCGGTGTATTAATAATAGCAAAGTCTATGGGTGTTTAAGACTTACAAATAAAAATAATGACTTCTGTATTTAATACAGTAAAATAACAATAGAAACTTGGCCTAAAATCACTTAACTTTAACAAGCTGTAACAGACGAACGGTTATTCGGAAAAAAAAATTGTACAAACAAAATTTTTTTGATATTTTTTCTCTTTAAAAAAATTGAAAATTCTCAATAGTTTCTGAGAAAATGAGTGTCTTACCAGATTTCGATCGCCTTGTATACATTATAATAAGCATTGTCAAGATTTGAGATTTTTAAAAAAAATTTTACTGGTCATTCATCGCATTTTTAGTATTTTGACCAAAAATAAAAAAACGGCCTCTTTATTCAATTTTTGGTCATATTTTATGATTATTAGATCAAAATAGTTTGATTTTTACTGTAGAATACAAAATTTAGTATTCAAATTTTAAGTTAAAAGTTGATAGCAAGGATATCATAATTAGCGTGGTTATATGGTATATATACAGGGTGGCCCACCACTCACTGACAACTTAAATAACTTTTGATCCAGTTAATATTTTTAGCTGATTTTTTTTTTAATAATAGTTATACGTTAGGTCTATAGCTATATCTCAATAATTAATTTTTTTACATTTTATTAAAAATATTAATTATTTTTAAATTTTAAATAAAATATAAAAAAATAATCTAAGATAGCTATTTTGTAGAGTAGAATTTAAGAAAAATTTTGGTAAAAACGTATCTTATTAATATTGAGTAGTAAATATTCTGTAGCGTTTTGAAGTTTGTGAAAATTTGAATTTTCATGTATTATTTTACGGTATTAAACATTGAAATACGTATTGAGAAAAGGACAGAAGAAAACGCTATCTTTTCATGATTACTGTGTATACATATGATGATAATGTGTATACATTACAAACTTGGCATTAATA